AAGATTTTATTTATTTATTTGAGAGAGAGAGTGAGACAGAGAGAGAGAGCATGAGAGGGGGGAGGATCAGAGGGAGAAGCAGACCCCCTGCCGAGCAAGGAGCCCGATATGGGACTCGATCCCGGGACTCCAGGATCATGACCTGAGCCGAAGGCAGTTGCTTAACCAACTGAGGCACCCAGGCGCCCGATAATCTCTACCTTTTAATTGGAGTGTTTAGTCCAGTGATATTATATAATTATTAATAAGGTTTTATTTAGGTGTATAGTTTTATCTGTTTTTTGTTTATCCCATTTGTTTTGTTTTTTTATTTTGTTTTTTTTGCTTTCCTCTTTTCCCCCCTTTTCTGTCTTCTTTTGGATTCTTTGAAATTTTTTTGAATTGCATTTTAATTTATTTATTAGATTTTTCATGTGATTTTTTTAGGGGTTCTTCTGTGGATTACCATATACATCCTTAAGTTTCCATAATCTTCATAGAGTTAATATTGTGCCATGTTATGTAAAATATAGAAACCTCATATTTATAGAAGTACATTTACATCTGCATGCATCTAGTGCAATTTTTTTTAGTTTAAAATATCCATTTGGTTCTTTTTTACACTTTCAGTCACTCTGCTGAGGTTTCCTATTATTTATTGTAAGCATTTTTTTTTTACCTCACTGAGGTTCTTGCCTAATAATGATAGAGTCTGGATCATCTCAGGGTTGGCAGCTGTTGATCTTTTTCCTTGAAAACTGACAACATTTCCAAGCTTTTTGTATATGTAGTAATTTTTAATATATCCTGGACATTGCGAATGTTATGTTGTGTAGACTCAGTATTTTTTTACATTGCTCTTGAGTGTTGATGGTATTTCTTTAGCAATTAATCAGCCTGATTAGATTCTAATTGTACACTGTCATACCTGCAGCTGGCTGTGCCTCAGACCTCAGTTCAGTTCTCAAGAGTGGTTGCCAGCCACTTTGTGTTTGCTTTGCACAGGCATGGTTGATGAGTCAGCTGAAGAGTAGTGCAGAGTTTAAATATAGAATTAGGCATTCTTCTTTGGCTCTGTCCTTTCTGAAGTTCCCCTCTCACTCTCTGGCAGCCCAGGGCTCCTTTCCGTTGTTCCTTTGGCCTAAAAGACTGCTGGATTTGTTTTGTTTTTTTCTCAGGGTTTTAGCCACCCTGCCTTGCCACCAGCATGACCGTAGGCACTCTCAGGGCAAAGTCACAGAAAATGAAGAACTCACTTTCTTCTGTTGCTTAGTCTAGATTTCCACAGCCCTCTAAAACTACCTGCTTTTTTCCCATCACTAGAGCCCTCCAGTATGTTGTTTATTTGTCCCATTTGTAGGAGGGTCTGTAGTTAGATACTCATTCCTTCATATCAGAGTAGAAAACTTGCTCTTCTTTCTTGAAATCTTGTCCATTTATTTCCACCATACTCTAAGGTCTTTTCCTGTTTCTCTGCTGCAAGTGGGCAGAGTGGAACCAAAAGCACATCAGAGTCACGTACATCTAGGAAATCCCAGCCCATCTGCTTGCTCACTTAAGGACAGTGTCCTTCACTTCACTTTAGTTTCCCCATCTGAACTTAGAGATTTTAATATTCTTAGAGGAAGGAATAATTGAATTTTAAGTGGAATTATAATATGTGAGGCACATAGCATAGTACCCAGCACATAATATATACTAAATAAAAATTTTACCCCTCTTAGTCCTTCAAGGGTTCCTCCTCTTCTGAATGACTTCAAAATGGCATTTAGCCTTACTCTACAAACCATCATCTGGGATCTCACTGACTCTTTTGGCTTCATCTTCCCTCTTAAAAGCCAAAGATTACCAAATCTAGTCAAAATGTGTCAAGAACTACAAATGTAAATATTTCAGTACCTCCAGGATAGCCCATGTGGATTTCCCATAAGCCCTTCAAGAAACTCATGTCCAAATCTGAACTCATCATTTTCTCTCTCCATCCCCAAATCAACCTGCTTCTTCTGCATTTAGACATTCAGTTAATAATATCACCAAATCATGAAAGAAAAAAAAAATCTAAGTGTATCCTAAAATCTTTCTGCTCCATATTTCCCAAATGTAATTACCAAGTCCTGCTGTTCTCCTTTTACAGTGTCTCCAGCCTGTCTCCTCATCTCTGTTCCTACTGCCTCTGATTTGGTTTGGGCACTCATCGTTTTGCTTCGAAGCTGCTACTGCCTTTAGTCTATTTACCCAGTCTACTAGCCAACATGATGTTTCCCAAATTCAAATCTTTGTATTTTTTCATTGCTTAAAACCCATCATTGGTTTCCCATTCCCTTCAGAGTAAATTCCCAACTCCTAGCAGCCTACACAGAGTACATCTGCTTCATCTCCCTTCCACATGGGCAGGTACCTCACACTCTGTGTGGAATGCTTTGCAGTCGAAGGCTTCAGCTTTCCCAGGCAGCTGTGACTTTAACATATGCCCTCTCAGCCCCATCTTTCCTCACTTGGTTCTTACTATTTGTCCTTTGAAATTCAATTTAGGCAGTGCCTTTTGTTTTCCAGATCATCTCAGTGTAAGGGAGGTTTCTCCCATGATCCCAGAGCACGCTATAGCGCACTGATGTGACTATAAGTTGTTATCTGCTGTCACTGGATTGGGAACTCCTGAGGGCAAACTGTATGCTGTTGCTCAGGCATTGTTCACTCTCTCTCCTTGCCTCCCTCTCTCTCTCAATCCCAACAGATAGTAATTTTACTTTTATCAGAGTCTAAGGGCTAGAGATGACATTTAGGAATTTAATGAATAAGGGTCCTATTTAACCTTTCCTGATTGATTTCTATCATTCATATGAACCAGATGCCATCCATCTTCATTATATGTAATCATCACTGGGTGGCTCAGTCGGTTGAGCGTCTGCCTTCGGCTCAGGTCATGGTCCCAGGGTCCTGGGATCGAGCCCCACATCGGGCTCCCTGCTTGGCGGGGAGCCTGCTTCTCCCTCTCCCACGCCCCCTGCTTGGGTTCCCTCTCCCGCTGTATCTCTCTCTGTCAAATAAATAAATAAAATCTTAAAAAAAAAAAAAAAGAAACATACATGTTTAAATTTTAGATTTTAAGTGTGTACTGAGGCCCAGTCAATATTTTCACACTAAAAACCCATAACTTAGGCCAAGCGGTCTTATATAACCTAACCAATAGTTATACTTCACTGTTGAACAACTCTCACCTTTAACACTTGACATTTTGAGTAGTTCTTTGTTGTGGGAGATTGTCCTGTGCATTGTAGGTTGTGTAGCAGCATCCCTGTCCTCTACCCACTAGAAACCAGTAGCAAATGCCCATGCCGCAGGCTCCGGTACTGGGTATTTGTGACAAAAATTGGAAAAGGAAAGATGGTGCCAAGTACCAAAAGTATTCCTACTAAATAGGAACTTAATCCATGAAATGCCTAAGTCTTCTGCCCTGTAAGAATCACCAGCATATTTATTATATTCACTCTGCTTAAAACCATATGATGTTGTTCCAATTTTGAAGAATGACTTTTGGTCTTGCCGCACTCTTTTCAGAAACTTTACAAAATGTGTTCATTCGATCTTTGTAAGTGGCACTGCTCCTCTCTCCTCCTTTCTCCAGGAGCTCATTTGACCATGAAACTTCTTGAAAATTTGAGAGAAGTGGAGGAGTTGAAATTTGCAGTGCCGTGTTTCACATATTGTCAGCTTTAAAGATCATTTCCAACAGCAGTTGGGAGAGGAACAGACTTCTGTTGAGTTATTACAGTTCAAAAACTGTATATAGTTGGGATTTGATATAAAAACTTTTAGTCAGAAGGCTTCTGCCATATTGGATTTCTTTGTGTTGGTCTTTAATTTTGCCTGCCCTTCCTTTTTCTTTTTAGACAATCCATGCTCTTATGGGAAGCGCTGTACAGCCCTTACTGACTTCAGTGGGAGATGCCATAGAGGCGATAATCATCACTATGCATCAAGAAGATTTTTCTGGGTAAGCACTTTCAACCATAGTTTTCACGAGTCTTTACTGCATTTGTTTTTCATTTACCTACCCCCACTCTTCATCCCTAAGTCTGTTTCCACCTAGGCCTTGTGCCTCTTGTGACCGGTTTGGCCTCCAGCCTCATACTACTTTATCCATTGTGAGCGCCATTAGCTGATTAAAATTTTTCAGTTCTTGTTTTCGTCATTTCTCTCCTGTCATTGAAACAGAATCATTAACGTTTGTGGGACTCAGCTTGGCACTGCAGGACTTCTGGTAGTTGGTACCGTCTTCTCTTTTCAAGCTGATGTTGATCCTTCTCTCTCACAAATGCCCTTACTTGAGCCTCTAGCATAGGCATGTTATTTCTTATATAAGATGTCCCAGCTCTGCCACGATGCCAGTCTGAATCTTGCTCTGGCCTTGAAGGCATGCTGTATCCCAACCACCTACAAGAATCATTTTCCTTTCTCGGAGTTTTGTGGCAATCCAATCTTGCCGTATCACACCTAGCCTAAGCAACGCTTCGGGAGTATTCCACAGCTGTTTACAAGAGTACTGCTTATCTGTCTCATATGTATCTTGAGAATAAAAATCATAGGTCCTAACCCAGTGTTCACTGAAATGTTTTTAAGGAGAGTAAAGTAGTTTGAGCTCCATGTACTAGGACATTATTTGTAGAGAATTTGGAATAGTTATTTGCACATGCTTAGAGTGATTTTTTTTTTAAACTTAACCACACTGTAGAGCTAAACATTCAAATATTAATACATAGATATGTGTTTTGTATTCATAGTTCATAGTTAGTTTTTGAATTTTCCTATTTATATTCATGTTGTTTAAATATCTACTTTATTAAATGTCCAGCCACTAGTCTAGCTGTTTGTAGAAAATTGTGTGAACTTTGCACTGTCCTTCAATTTTTCACATCACTTATTTCATTCACAAAATATCTTTTGAAGGGTAAAAAGGTCGCTCTCTTTTTAATAATGGAATGAAGCACAGAGGGTAAGGTGGATTATACACAAAATGCTATAATATTTGGAGATAGGAATACAAAACTGCTGATTTAGCAGTATTTGGAAGGAAATGAATTTTGTTCAAAAGTGATATGAAATGTCCCAGTTAGACCAATCCTCGATGCCTCTGCAAAGGAAGCAGAAAGTAAAGGCTCATTCTGTAAGAGTGCTCAGCTCCTTACATCAGCAACTGAATTGGTGAACCTCAGCTAGTGCCTGTAGCTAGTGGCTTGGACATTAAAAGTTGGTCTCCCTAGTAGCTATGTCCTTACTAGTTTGCCTAAATACTAGGGAGCTGGATTACCACTCACAGGTTGCCACGAGTAGGAAGCATTATTTTAAGGTGCATAACACTGCCCTTAATTTTTTCCCCGAATGGCTTTTAATGGTCCCATTTCTGCTCTCTGTCTATATACAGCAGACTTTTGAGATTCCACTCGGAGTCGTTTTCCGTCTGTGCTGGTAGAGGAGTGTGGGTCTCTGTTGCTTTATGTTCTATTTAGAATTATTACCCCAGGGCAGTAATTTTCTCACTTTCTAGAACTTTGTTACTAGTGATTACTAGTAATTCTGTCATTTCATTTCACATATGAAATGTTTGGCTTGAATGAAATATAAGGTGAAGTTAGATGAAACTATTCAAGAAGTACGAATCACTTTTACAGTAGGGCCAGCCCCCAGGTAGTAGGTGATAAAAATAGTAGGGAACACCTGCCCTTGGAAGCCCTCTATATTTATTTTAGGTAAAGGGAATAAAGCAGGTTTAACCTTGTCAGCCAGCCTTATATGGAGTGTGGTTACAGAATCCCTCTGCTATTTAAAAAGTAATGCTCAACACAGTTTCCTGGTATTTGAAATGTATTTAATAGGACCAGTGTTTCTCTCCAAATTAGATAAAGCTCAAAATATAAATGTCTGATTGACATAGTACATTGATTGAAATTCTCTGATTTAATGTAAAACGACTTCTCTCTGATTATAGCTTTGAATGGGGAAGGAAAGGCAGTAAAAGTAGGAAGACCCTAGACCCTGAAGTGATAGATGTGCACCTCAGCCACAGGGAGAGTGCACAACACACCCCAAAAAGATAGGGGACCTGAAGATGATCATCTACCATTTCTCAGGTGTACATCCCCTTCAATTTCTGCACAGCTTACTATTGCACTTGATCAGTTGAAAATCTCTTACTAAAAGCTTCGGCATAATTGGGAAAACTGCACTTTAGTGGTGGCCAAGCAAATTTCGTATTCTAATCAATTTAAATCAAGCTTTTAATCCACACTAAGAATTGATAATACCTATTTCAAAATTTCGTCTGATGGATTATTTTACTTATATTGACACATGCTTGGAACTGGTTTTAGTATATTATTTTCTAATCCTCATGGAAATTATTTCAACTGACCAGATGAAAATTCTTGAAACACTCCTCCAGAGTAGTACAAGGTAACAACAGCGCTTTTGATAAAGCATAAGAAAACATGAAAGAGATTGGTACCTTTTTTTTTTCCAACCTAGTCTGTTGAACTGAACAAAGATAGGCTGTGCAATGGTCTGAATCTGGCACAGCCAACCCCACCTAAGATTGCCGTCATTGACTGAGGCTGTACCGAGCAGCACTCCACTGTGACACTGAATACAGCAGTGGTCCATCATGCTCCCCCTCAATGGCCTTGCCTTAGTTAGGACATTCTTTTTTACACCTGAACAAAATCTCTCCCTTCTGGAACTTAAAACTGGTTTCTCTATTTCTATCTACTGCTGGAAATAGAAGGCCTTTGGTTAACATCCTCTGATAATAAGCATTCATTGCTGTCTTTGAAAATAATTAAGTTCACCTCATTCTCTTGCTCTAGGCATTTGAGTCATATCTGTTGTTCTTTAGACCACTGCCACTTTTTCTACGTCATTCTCAGAATATGGAAACACTCATTTTTTTGAAGACGATTCAGCACTTTGTAGCCAATGATCTCATTGGTTAGCTAATTAATATCAGGTGATTTCTAATTTTGGTATAACTTCTTTCCTATAAATATTTCACATTCTTTTAATATATTCCTTAAAGAGCAATTATAAACACTTATAAATTATAAATAGTATTTCATGGAGCATCAGCTGGCATCATCTGTTGATCCAAATTAAAGCCTTTGCAAACCTCATCATCTGGGAGGAAAAAATTGCATACCATGTGTATTGTTACATAACCAGTTCCACAGGCAGAAATCTACTATTGGCCTGATCAGATTAAATAGCACAGGAGCAGAAATATCTTTGCCAGGAATTTGTTTGGGGAAGGCTGTGTTTTCTGCCCTTACAAAGTGTAAAATGCTATTTCAGGCTTCATTATTGATTTATTCACTAACCAGGCAAAACATATGAGTGGATGGAGATTCGTAAAGCTGAGAAGGACCTTGAGAGGTCAGAGAGTACATAAGGCACTGTGTGAATCACCCGAGACAGATGGTTGTCCATTTCATTCTTAATAATCTCTAGGTAAATGGATTCTAAGATTTCTTCAGTAATCTTCCTAGCATCTTAAAACAGTCTTTATAATTTATACATTGTTTTATGCTCCTTAACTCTTAGTAAAAATAAGCAATACTTTTTTTTACCACTATGGGAAAAAATTGCTTAGGATTGAAATAGCAGGTGGGGGAGGGGGGCAAAAGTGGAATAGTGGCTGTTAGTACATTGGCTGTTTTTTCCCTTTTGCAGGTCACTATCCAGCTCAGGAAAGCCTGATGGTCCTTGTTCTCTGTACATGAAGGAGCTTCAGGGTTTCATTGCCAGAGTTATGAGTGACTACTTTAAACACTTTGAATGCTTGGATTTTGTCTTTGACAACACTGAAGCTATCGCCCAAAGAGCAATTGAACTTTTTATCCGCAATGCCAGTCTCATAAGACCTCTTGGTGAAGGTGGGAAAGTACGACTTGCTGCTGATTTTGCTCAGGTAAATTGATGCATCGCTGCAAAGGGGGAAATGTTCCAGCCTCAGTATTATCTGTTCATTAAAAGACTAAGTATGTATTCTTTAGTGTTTTAAAGAGTTGAAGCAGAAAGAAAAATAAATTCATTTCAACTGAATTGGTAAGAAAAAGAGAAGAGTTAAAAGAGACTTTCATACCAGATTTTTTTTCTTTGTATTTAATAAATGAATCATCACTCATCTTTGAGATTTCAGGGTTAAGTGAAGTAGCTCATTCCATAGTACAGAAATATATCTCACTTTTACATAATGTAGGGCTTTCTTACTATTTTATTATCCCATGAGGTTAGTATTGAGAAGAGTAATTGGTTGATTCTGCTGGGAAATAATATAGGCAATGACATTTCCTCCGAATACTGTAAAGGGGCTGTCTGTTGTTATGTAAAGAGTAAGAACTCCCATGCATCTGTAATCTTCTAGTGGCCAGCTCAGTGTTCCAGGACAATGTTCTCCATTTAGATGCACAGTGGGCCATGTACAATAGAGGGTCTGATTATTTAGTCTCCCTTTATTGAACAGAGTACCTTTCTTGTGTATGGCCAGCCTTGAAATAATTCCAGGCTCTCAAACCATGATCACCTCTTACAGGAAAGGGTTTTTCCCTTTTTCCTTTAGACAGATTTTTCTGAAGCCTTCCAAAAGTATTAGAGGCAAAGAAGAAACACCTCAAACATACACCTGAATAAAAAGGTTTCCAAACAGATCACTCGTATTTATATAGCATGTCAAAGGTGGACTCATTTTTTATGCTTTTCACAGCTGTTAACTTTACTAGTCTAAAGAGTTATTCAGATGGATTATTCATAATTTGCCAGATCCTGCCAGCTAATAAAGATAGTCAAATTTAATGGCCTTATTTATCCCTGTGTGTATCTGGGAGCAAGTCTGGGTTCATTATTCCCACTCCAAGGAGAAGATGTCGGAGACTCCTTGAACGGGGGGTGGTTGTCAGACTCATACCTGATAAAGGTCCAGAGGGAACAGGTACATTATCTAATGTTTCAAGAGCTGGGCTCTTTGCATATTAATTGGCCTAGAATTAGTCATTTTCATCCCCAAATGATATGCCTGAGGCCACTAGACCATAGTAAAGAGCCTTCCTTTGGGAAATATACCTTAGGTAGCCTAGACATAAAAATAGGAATTAAATGTTGCTCCTTTGACCTTTCTCATTTTCAGAAGCTTCCTTCTCATGCCCTTGTACATTGTGCTTTGTTGCTACAGGTAAACTTCAGCTTAAAGAGGATTGTATATAAACAGTGTGTTACCCGTCCCTTACTGGGGTCACAGGCTGCTCATGGAACTGAAAACACTAGGACGCACCAAGTCCTGCTCTTGTGTGTTAAAAACACTGTGGGCTCTACTGAAATGAGCGTCTGTTCTCTTTTTCCCCCTTTCCTCCTGAATTTTGTTTTTCTTTTCCTCTCCTCTTCCCTCCCCTGGCCTCCCTCCCCCACCAGTTTATTTGCATTCTGCTCCAGCTGGTTCTTGAGTCACTTTCCTGGAGGCAGCACTTCAAGTCCGATTAGAGTGGCAGTGAGCGAGAGATGGCCAAAATGAGAGTGCCGGCGCGCGCCAAGCAGGCTGTTCGTTCCGCGTTTTATTTTAATGATCTGCTCCCTTACGAATCTTGAAAGATGGAAGGCATTGTCCCGTAACCCATGTTACCACAGCCAGCTCCTGTTCAAAACGCAAAGCCCCCAGCGGCAGGTTGAGCTCCCACCCCCCGGAAACTGCATTATTCAGACTTTCACTTGGCATCTCTTCTTTCTCGTGTTGCCCAATCAGCCAGACCTTTTCTCGGGTCCCTTCCCGTAAGATGAATGGAACTCATTGGTCCTTATGACCAACTTACTCTACTCAACCAAGGCATCCTGTTTTCCATTTCTTCAATAGCGAAATTGCAGCATTTACTCGGGGCAAAGCCGTGCAGTGACGACGATGCTGCGGTGCAGGTGGTGCTGACCCCTTTGTCCCCTCCCAGACAGCGTGGCCCAGTGTCAAAGCAGCCTGCCCCTCACCTTGCGGCCGGTTCCGCACCCTGTGGCTTGTGGGCACAGGAGAGACAGGGAAGTGCCCTCACATTTGGGACCAGTAGCTTTGGCAACAGGATCCAGCTACTCCCCCCGCCCCATAGTTAAGAAAACGACAGTGAACTGGGGGTTTTGTTTAATTTGCCAAACCTGCAGTCGCGTGATGCAGCCCCTTAGCTTTCAGGACCGTGCTTGGTTGGAGTATTTTCCCAGTGAGTCAAAAACACTTAGGTATTACCCTGACCTTGTTTGTATTCATGACAGGCATCGCCTGGGGACTAGAAAGCCTTCCGACTGCCTCATTATTGAAAGTCCTGTCAGTTTGTATTCAAAATGAAACAAAGCCAGCGAGGCCACTGGAATCAAGAACACACAAATCCTCTCTGGGTTTTAAAAGTGTTCTTGTGATAAAAGTGCCTACTCATTCTGGCATAAATGCAGAAAGAGAAAGAGCTCAGGAAGAGACCCAGGGAGTAGGTTTGGAATTGCTGAGTATTTGTCATTTGGTCCAGTCGCAAAGGCAGATAGTGGTAGATTTTAAAGATCTCTTCAGGAACCCTAAGCTGTCCCTCCTGGCATTGCACAGGTGAGAGGGAAAATAGTTGCCGGGTGCCACCTGGAGGGCTCGTGGTGAGGGAAGCACCTGACATGCAGCCTCATTAGGAATCAGGTCATGGGCCTGAGGGGGCTTCCTACAGGTAATTGATTTCCTGCTGTGACCACATGCTCTCTGTGTCGACACTCCACACAGCAGTTCTAAAACACTCAGCTTGGTCAAGGCCACTGGGGTCTGCTGACTCACAACCTCTTGGGGGATTTGTCCACACTGCCCTCGCCCCTCGATTTCGTTTCTTCCCCAAGGGAAAGGATGGCTCGTGGAGGTGGCATTAAATTACTCATTCAGTGGTACTCCTAGCAATTTCTATTTATAGGTCTCCCGGTGCCCTTTAAATATATATGTATCTGTATTTCTCTTTGCCCAAATATATGCATTTAGAAAAGAAAACGAAATAATGAGGATTTTCACAGCAATTGCCTTTTCTCCTAAACAGTGTCAGGGCCGGAGAGCCGTAGGAGCATCCAGACATGCCCCGTGGCTAACCAAGTGTCTGCGGTGGGGCCCGGGCCGCTCTGTAATTAGTTCACCTTGCCTGCCTCTGACCACTTGCTCCCTGCAAGCCGGGAGCGGGAGAGAGGCCTTTGTACCTGCCATTTGTGTATCCACAGCTAGGTGCAGAGTCACCTCCTCCAAAAGGAACACTCCTGCCCTTTGGAAACATGGCCTTTATTGTTTCATGGAATTCTGGCAGAAGAAAATGGTTTTCAGTACGCTGGAGGTCCTTTATTTATTTTGGAATTGTACTCTGGTATAGAAATCTCCTGTATCATCATAGATTACACAGCAGTTCAAGGTCATATTCTCTCATGTTGTAATTTTTTAACATTCCATGCTGCTCAAGTGCTAAGGCAAAGGTTTTTTGGTTTAATCTTTGAAGATGGAGAATCTACTAGGGTAATTGAAAAAAATGTCAAAAATATTTCATGAAAACACCTTATGTAATTTCAGTTTGTAAAAACCATAACACACACACACACACACACAATTGCAGTTACCAAATGAGGAATACAGGATAATAACATTTTTACTTTTGTGCTCAGTGTAAAATAAATGCCACAGTCTGAAGAAAACCAGCAACTTCATCAGGTGAAGAAACCAAACAGGTCCCAAGGACCCACTGTCTTGACATGAGAACACTGACTTCAAGCTGCTCTGTTTTGCTTTGTTGGCAAGAATCCTGACTTTTTTGCCTCAGATTTTTCTCTTCTTATTTACTTAATCTTCTCTATTTTAGAGAGTTTTCTAACCATGTTAAGGTTTCCCTCTAGGACATAGAAGACATACTCTGTGTCTTCTATATGTTAGGAGAGAAATTGACCGGTTCCACCTAGAAATTCCACCAGTTACCCTCAAGACCATCTCAAGGAAGCTGCCCACCAGGTCCCCTGTGACAGCTCGTACACTTGATAGCACACTTCTAAGTTTGCTTAATAATAATCAGGTGTGGGGGCGCCTGGGCAGCTCAGTGTCTGACCTCGGCCCAGGTCATGATCCCGGGATCCTGAGATGGAGCCCTGCTTCCTGCTCAGCAGGGAGTCTGCTTCTTCCTCTCGCTATCTCTCAAATAAATAAAATATTTAAAAAATAATAATAATCAGATGTGTATATACATGTATGTATATGTGTATGTGTGTGTGTATAGATCCACATACCTTTTTTATTTTGTTCAATAATAACTATATTGTTTAAATAAATAAATAGATATCCCCTTCTTCACTAAATTTGAAAGAGCTCCCTAAAGGCAGGACAGTCGACTAATTTATCTTCTCATCCCCATGTGTAACTCGGTGCCTGGCAATTAACAGGGAGTTAGAAATGTTTGTCAAATGAGTGATTGTTTAGGTCTCCGCAGTTTCCCAGGGGCAGGAGATTTGAGCAGTATTTTAGAAGGATGACCAACAGGACAGAAGCCCCACTTTCCATTCCTTTGTTTTTCTTGAAGAAAGATGCTTCATTACTTTTTTCAGAGATTTTCTAAGCTATTCTGTACCAGAGTCCTGTTGATAGCAAGAGCGGAGAAACAGTTTGTCATCTGAGTCCTCCGTCTGTGAAAACTTTGCACTTGCTAGAACAGAGACCCTAAATCTCCATTTAATGACAAGTAAAATTTCCAGCCAAAGAAGGAGAATAAAGAGCAGTGAAACCAACAGGTCTTGAGTCAGGAAGCAAATTAATTGGCTAATAATGTAACAGGGGGAAAGTTTAAAAAATACTGCTAATAATTGCCAACATTGAACAAGCACCTGCTAGGTGCCGCGCTCATATTGCTTTGTGAAATTATTTGGTTTCTATAGTTCTGTGAGCTAGCACTATCTCCACTGGACAGACGAGGAGCCCGGGGCTTACGGAACTGAAGTCCAGGGCGGCACAACTAGTCGTTGTAGGCTTGGCATTGTGACACACGTGTGCTGCCTCCAGAGTCCGTGCTTCTAATCACTTGGGCCAGCTTGCTGAGGGTTGTCATTGTTTATACTTCATATGAAAAGGCTTGTGATGCCTACTTCAAGTATAGGCACACAGTCTTAAAAACCTTGCCTCCTCCAGTTTTTCAGTGGAGAAAAGAACCGAGTTTCCTCCTTTTACATAACCAAAATGTGTTTTTCTGTGTTCTTGAAGGAATGGTCTCATGTTATTCTCCTTTAGTAACAATAAATGCAAAAGTCACCCAAGTTTGTGCCTTTTATTAAATTTAATTGACTTTCAAAAATTGCCTCACAGTCCAGATAAAAGTAAGTTTATGGCAAGCTTCAACTTTCTGTGATCCAGGTGTGTCCCCCGTTCAACACAGGCTTCTGACATTAACACTGTGGAGTATCTTTTAATGTTTCAGATGGAGTTGGCTGTGGGTCCATTCTGCAGAAGAGTATCTGATCTAGGAAAGTCCTATCGAATGCTGAGGTCATTCAGGTGAGACACTGTTCTATTATTGCAGTTGATATATCCATATCCTATTAGCAGATAAATCCTTTCCCCACTATTCATTTTGAGCTATATGAAATTGCCAATATTCAACCGTTTTGTGACCTATAACAATGGCAGTTTCATATGGTTTATCTTAAAAGTTATTATTCAAACCAGAAACCCATACAGAATTATATGCAATGATGTGTGTGTGTGTGTGTGTGTGTGTGTGATTCTTGAGTTAAAATTCACAAGACTGAGCTGATAAATTTTATTATGCTCTTTCTGAGGGGAATTTTTTTTATTATGTTAATCACCATACATTACATCATTAGTTTTTGATGTAGTGTTCCATGATTCATTGTTTGCGTATAACACCCAGTGCTC